TATAAAAGTAGGGGAAAGGCGCTGTGGAAGCCTGGAGGTCTAAGAAGGGAGTCTATGTGATTAAAAGACGTTTTCCAGGAGTGTTGAAAAAAGAATCGTATGGAAAAAGGATGCTGAACGATGTGTCTAAAGGTGTGTTGGGTCATGACTGTGGGAATTTTTTTTATACATCATATACAATTGGTCCAGCTGTTGCCTTGCAGTGGGAAGGTCCTGGGTTCGCTTTCCGGCCTGGGATCGTTCTGCATGGAGTTTGCATGTTCTCCCTGTGCATGCGTGGGTTCTCTCCGGGTGCTCCGGCTTCCTCCCACAGTCCAAAAACATGACTGTTAGGTTAATTGGTCTGTCTAAATTGTCCTTAAATGTGATTGTGTGTGTGTCTCTGTGTTGCCCTGCGATGGACTGGCTCTCTGTCCAGGGTGTGCCCCGCCTGATTGCCCGTTGACTGCTGGAGATAGGCACCAGCCCCCCGTGACCCTACATGGACAAGCGGGTTCAGACAATGGATGGATGGATGGATGGATGGATACAGTTGGTCCGTTTTGCCCACGTTTTGTCATCCACTTTCACCGTCTTTGAAAAACCAAGATAAACCATAAGACAAAACAAAGTGAAATGTGACAAATTCATTTAAATTCTTTCCTTTGCCCAAGTACGTTTTAGGCATATTTACATGTATAGCAAATAAACAACTATTTACTTAAGTAGCTTTCGGTAATAAAAGACCAACATCTTTGATAACAGAATACATTGGTTTTGTTTGTCCACTTAAATGTTTTAGTCACTTTCCACCACGTGAACTCGGGTCGTGCCATGTGCCTCTGTGTGTGCTCCGTCATGGCTCTTGTTGTTGAGCATCGGCCGCAGCTGTGGGTCTGGCCTCGTGTCTGCTGCTCTGCTGCCCATATGTACTCTGCTCCACCGATGTGGCAGGTCAGGCATGCTCACGGGATTGGAAAGCATGAGTGGAAATGAGCAAGCGTTAGCCTGACACCTTTCTCTGGTGTTAACAGGCGCTGTGATCATGACACCACATCAAGTCTGAGAAGCTAGCACTGGCACCAAAACGAAGATGCTCTAGTGTTCTGGCAACTTCCATTCCAATTTTTTGCCTCACTGAGTGGCTGCAAAAGCCCCAAATGATCACCTCATACTTAAAATAATCTGCCTCAGGATGTTTCAAACACCAAACTATTTTTGCAGACATTTCCAGTTTGCCCCAGCCACATCTTGCTCTCTGATCTCCGGCAAATAAACAGAACAAACAATATGACACGACTGCAAACATGAGCTAATTTGTGTGCACTGGAGTAGTATACTGATGCTGCCTAAAATAATTTAGTTGTAATCGCCGTGCCATTTGAAAATTAGGCAACTAAGGAGACAAGTGTGTAGATGATGTGCACGGCTAACGGGACTTTGCATTACTCCGAATAAGTCTGGGAGTGGATCAAATTGGATCATTCATTATTTCACGGTCAATTCAACCACTTTTTTATTCCTCATTAATCTGTTTATCTGACATTTATATTTGTTTTTTGACTCCATTCATCTACTTAATACAACATTTTACTATCTATATCCATGCAGCTGGTACATTTCTGCAACAGCAGCCAAACCCTTTTGTGTGTGCATGTTGTGCATCTGTAAAAATGTGTGTATCACTGCTAAACAGTGAAAGATGTTTCAATGTGGAGAGCACATAACAGCACCATTTCATTCTCTTTAACTACAACAAATTATAATGGGTAGCTGTATATCTTCAAAAGCAAACACTGTGAGGATGGTTATTGAATAAATGAATATATTATGGGGTGTGTTGATGCAAGACTCTTAAAAAAAAGGTTTAGGGAAAAGTTGCAGCCATTGAAGGAAAAACAAATTCAACTGGCAGGCGGCAGGTAGAAAAAGCTTTGAAGGAGAAAGCAGAAGTGGGGATTTCAAAGTCAAATAGCGTGACATTTTTGACTAGAGCTGTTGATGAGAAAGCACAAAGAATTACCTTGGTGTGTCAAAACAGCTTCTTTTTTTCCTGTTCTGAGCTTTCCAACAAGCACCAATTTATAAAAAGAACAATGGAGTAGAGAAATTGGACATCTCAAACAAGTTTTGAAAAGTTTACTGGAAGTGATCATTTTCATCCCCAACCTCTTGTCTTTTATTTGTGGCTAAAACACATGAAAATCATTTCAAGGCCTTGACTATGTCAAAAGGTAAAAGTGCTGAACACTCATTTAATCAATAGATTTGCTGTTGCCTCTAGTAGAACTGAATGTCTTGTAAGTCATACTCGGGGGTTTGGGGAAGAAAGCTCAGATGCGCCTGAATCAGGAAGTACAAGGCTGTTTCTCAAAACCCGAGGACGCTCGTATGTTCTTGAGTACTTGAGTAGTAAACCAGAAAGTTCGTTCTACCGAGTATGGGAGGACAGGGACAGCAATTAGAACCAAACTGTACAGGCGCTGCTTGTTGCTACGGTTAGGAAAAGACACCTGAAATTAAGATAAAAGTCTAGTTTTACCCTTAACTCATTCACTGCCAATTAGTCGTCATTTTAAATCCAACCGTTCACTGCCAATGACGACTAAAGTCGTCAGTTGCATGTTTTTACTGTGTGGGCATCGGAACGAGCTCCTGCACCATGAGAACAAATATTTCACCTCTAAAGCCGATCTTCATCTGCATACGTCACATGTCACATGACCGGGAAGCAGAAAATCCATGTGTTAGGAGATCGTTTTGGGCCGCTGCTGTAAAAAAAAAGTGAGGCACGAACCAGAAAAGCTTCTACCGATCAAAATTTGACAACGGATGAAAGAACGGATAACGCTTGAAGCGCGCGGATTCTTCCTGATGTAAGAGGTGAGTCTACTCTTTGTTTTGGTAGTTTTGGCGTCGACATCATCCTAGCGCGCAACGTTCTGTGACTCTTAAAAATACTGTAAAAATGGTGAGAAACGCTGGCAGCGAATGGCTTTACCGATCAGGAAACTGCTGGTAGTGAATGAGTTAAATAACAAAGTAACAATAAATACATATTATTTGTATAATATTAGGTGAACTTTTGATCAAAAATGGTAAAATACCAGCATTCCACTTTATTAAATTAAGAAAAAAGTATATTTTTCATCAATACAAAGCTATGTACGGCAACGCTACTTTTACTTTGATAGTGTGTTAGCTAAGTAGCATTCTGAGGGATGTTGAAGAGTCTAAAAAAAGCTCAAGTACACACAACTGAGCCTACCGCTCTGGTATTTGGAGTATAACGATTACTGACACAATACATTGTGGGATACTTTGCTGTCCAAAATCCACAGAAGGTGGACTGATGCATCCTCGATACAGTGGGTGGAGCAAGGACACAGCAATCAGGACTCTACCACCTACTATGTTTGCTGTGCAACGTTGATGTTTTATCTCCGCAAATAAAACACGGCTGGAGGAGTTCTGCCGTGAGGTGGAGTTGCTAATGCTTAGCTTCTATTGGCCAAGTCAAATCTTTGACGGATGCTAAACCAACAACAGACATTCCCGTCAGAATTCAAGATGGGTGAGCCCATGAATGTTAAGTGACAGAGTGACGTAAATCTGTCAGAAGTTTCATATTTCTTTTTCAGGATTTCTATTTTCTATCCAAAGCTAACACAGGAGATAGGTGTAGGAGACTATTTTCAAGCTCAGCCTGCATGAAAAGGTCAAAGGGACCAATTATAACCTGATATTTGCACTTTTGTACCTTGACAATAGCATGAATGTGTCATTTATCAGTAAAATTCCACATTGTTATGTTGAATGTAAAAACTACAGAAAAGCTCAGTAAAGTAACCACTTTTTACACAAACATTTTTAAAAGATCTATTTATTTGAATTCCTGACAGTTTTTTGGGGTTTGAGTTTAAGATGTATTGGCATTTTAGACTAGAATCCTTAACAGCATTACTGCTAAACTTTACTAGAAACAACAAGTTATAATATCTATATTTTTTTACGTTGCTATGTATAACTTTAAAAATGTAAATCTACTCTTACCTATCATGGAGGCTTCAGGAAAATGTCTTTGTGTTTGGTCGAGACAATGATTGAACCTTGTGTGGATTTCCTTTAGGTGGTTTCATCTGACAGTATAAATGCATGTCTGGTTAATGGATGTATGTGTGGCTGTATTTTTACATGCAGGAAAGGCTGCAGCTTTTTTGGAATAATGAGATAATTCCGATAATCAAGAATGTAAAGGTGAAATGGTAAACTTAAGGTTAGAGGGACTGGTAAAACTGTGTATACGTCTTGACAGTTACACTACCAAGAAACAGATATTGTTGCTTACAAGCAATTTAAGAGTATGTGAACTTGGATTTCATGCTAAGCTAGCAGCAGACCCTGGGTGTAACTTTGCTCGTGTTCCACTAAGTTTGAAATGCACAGGCGCACACATGCCCTAAGTGCGATTGTTACAGCCATTACATAAATGTTTCCAAACATATTTGGTCAAAATGCTACAAGAGTCCTCGCAGTACAACGTAAAAACCTACTATACATGCAACATAGCAAAACTGAAAGCCAACTGTAACATAATGGGAATTTTCCAATATTAGACCATAAATGTGGAAGGCAGTGGATCAAATGTGCCATTACAAGCAAAATTTTTTATCCTTCTGAGTGCAGAAAAATGCCAGTAAAACTAATGGACTGCCATAAAGAGGATTTTGCTAGAGTGCTTTTGATGAGAAAAAGCTTACTGTGCATCTCAACGTGAAAGAAAGTCTTAATCTTTTCATTAAAAATGAGTAAATGTACCAGGTATGAACCAATACAAATACTACAGATTTTTGCAAGGTCAGATACCATGAAAAGCCTTGCCGTTTTGTTTCTAAATTCACTTGGTGCAAGTAAATTTCTTCCATTGTCATTTTTTTTTCAGATTTGTATCTTTTTTGCAATTTGCATAACATTTTTATGGTAATACATGAAAAATGCAGAGTGAGTAAAGTTGGACTTACCAAGTCTGTTGTCTAACGCTCCAAAATCCAGGGAGTACTTCACAACATGGTAGTTGTTCCAGACATAAAGCAGGTTGTCCCTGGGATTATAATCCACAGCAGCAATATACTGATAAGAGTTGGGGAAAGGGATGTCAAGAAAGCCATCTTTACTTAGTTCTGTATTGTAGATGTAGTCGATCTTGTTTCCCGTTGCTTCATTGTCATCATCCTCATAGACTGATTTTACTACATAGAGAATCCCACAGATCATGAAGGCATTGGAAGCCGAACGCTTGTCGTAAGCAGTGTCCCAAGTCCCCTCTACACGAAGTGTGTAGGGGTTCAGTTGGCTGATGACAATCCGTCCATTGTTTTGTTCAGTGGCATAAATCACCCAAAGTCCATTTTCATCCACAGCCAAGTCAATGTCAGACTTCCCTCCCCAGCGATACGGAGACGTGTCATGGTAGTTGGCATTAGCTATGATAGCCTCACCACTCTTGATACGAGTTCGTAGGTCAAACTTGACTATGTTGCGTGTGCGCTCTTTGTTGAAGAACAGCGCTCCATCGTAGACCACAAAGCCTGTTCCGTCGACACGATGTGGTAGCTTGTAGGTTGTTGTTGGCCTACCAGCAACAAAGTCTTCCTTGGATGAGTATTCTGTCAAGGTGTCTGTGCGGTAGGGTGTCCAAGGCATATAGTAGATCTTGTCCGAAGCCTGTAGTGGGTCTTTGCACCAAGCGCCGGACTGGTGGTCTGATTCGAAGAGGTGTTCGCTCTGGTACACCCTGCGCAGAAGCCCTGGGCACAGGAATACTGAGGAGCCAAAAATGGGGAAAGACAATGATAGAGTTACATTGGCAGGTATTAACAAAAGTGAGAAGTCATTGACATAAAGGCCAAATTACTTGATGTTTTGAGCCTTGATGGAAGAGGTTAGGATTGTCCTTATTTTTGATGTAAGGACTGGCTCAAAGTATAGGACAATTCAGCCGTGATATGATAATTCTTTCATGGGCACACCACGAAGGAGCACTTACATAATGCCTTGTTTGGTATCATCATTAATCATACAAAATAATGTCTCTTAGGACTGTTGCAAACTGTATCCTGGTTACATTACATATGAAGGTATGTTACAATTTTTCTGGGGAAATTACATAACTAACTTTGGCCTGGGAATGGCTAGGGCTGCTTTTCTGAGGGTTTTCAAACCTAATGGTTACCTTTGCAACCCATCATTGGATAAATGGTGCAAAAACAGATAGACTGATGTTTTTGGGATGTTAAGCGTGTGTGCATGGGTGAATGACTGATTGTGTTGTGAAGCGACTTGGGGGATGGTAGAACCCTAGACGGCACTATACAAATACAGGACATTTACCACATTTACTATTTGTAAATGATTATTGCAACAATTGATTATGCTTTTACAAGATTTCCATTTTGTCAGGAAATATTTAAATCACCAACATTTAAGGGCTGAAATGTAGGGTACAACATGAATTATGATTTGTCAAAACAAAGACAAAAATCTCCACTGAAGTAAAAATATGCATGTCATCATTCCTTATGCAGGAGATGTTCGATACCATTTGATCCATGTTGGGATAATCAGATTTTGATTGAAAAAGAATACAAATCATTAATGCTGTTCATTATATCACCCCAACAAGTTCTGAATCACCTCCTACAAAGCATGAAATTGTAATTTAACAGTACACAACCAAGACGAAGGCTCGCTTTCCATGATTATACACTGTGCTCAACATGTATCATGTTGGGTTTCAATTAGTTCCTGCAGTTTGCAGAAAATGTGTTTAGTGCAGTTTTTCTCACCCTGAAAAGATGTATCTCCGCCACTAAAACAACCCAACTTATTGTTTGTAAAGAAGGAATAATAAATTGTGAGGGTTATATCTTATGACTTTATGAGCACACAGAAGTTGGAGATACTGTTAAAACTAACAAAATACACCGCTTCTCGCCCACACGCACGGACACACACACACAACCATTTTTCTTTTCCAGTACGTGCTTTTGTTCGCAAACAAATAAAAACTCCAGCAGTAATAAAACTGTTTGATGCTTTGTTTCCCTTCCAGTTAGAGTTCTGAATATATAACCCTCCTAAATTATTTTGATAAATAGCTCTGTTGTAATCATTGGTCAAGGCAGGTCTTTTAGAAAATGAAAATAATAATAAAAATATGACATAATCTAAATAATGGCTGCTTTCCATTATTTCATGATGTTTTTAATCTGTGGAATGATTTACAGCACCATGCACACTAAACTAATTATATGTGAGCTGGTTTGTGCTCAAATCTGATAAAGCTAAGTCATGGCAATACAATATCCGGTCAATAGCAGGCACCATTTGCAAAAGCCATTTTCTGTTTACTATTGATCATGGTAGACTGTGGAAACAGTCGTTTTCTCCGTTTTGGAAAAACACAACATCTGATATCTTAATTAAAGTAGATTTAAATATAAAGCAAAACAATAAAACATAAATTAAAAGAATACAAAAAAATATGTGCACTTTATTCTGTTTTCCACAAGGGTGGGCCCTCGGTGCCTAAGGAGTGAAACACAAAGCTTTGTTCACTACGGCAGGGCAGCAGCTTGACAGAGTGCTGACAGGTTCTAGCTGCAGATCCGTTGAGAGCAGAACCTGCGCACTCCAAGGGAAAAAACAGAGCAAACACAGGCTTCTTTTTCCTTGTAATCTCCCAAGATTAAACATGTTGTCTACCTGCAGGTGAAAATGTGGCGAGATGCTTCCCGGTGACACGGAGGCTCGGCACACTTTTCAGCGTTTGCTCTGCTAAATGCTGAGGGATCTGTTTTCCTCCAGTTGAAAAACACAAGATGTGCTAGGCTATGAGGTCAGACTGGGTACACTTTTGTACTGACAGCACATGCTGGACTCAATTTAGGTTTCAGAAATGAGCTTTTTCACAGAGAAGAATGCAGAAATAGAGTGATGCATTAAAGATAATAGGAAAAAAAAGACAATCATGGCTTCTTTAGAGACAATTATTTCAACATTTACCACAACCTGACTCTTATTTCTACAAACTTAAAATATACTCTGCAAATATTAAAGCACAAGTCTCGACTATTGTTTCATTGCATTGTCAGTTTTAACATCTGACAACAGCTGATTGCAGAAACAATTCTCCCCAGGCACAAAGTGAAGCTCCAGAATATTTAGCCCAGCTTCAAACAATGCTGATAATGTAAGATTGCAACTGCAATAATCTATCCCCTGCATTGACTCATGAGTCCCTGAAGGTTATGGCCATCATCATGTAGAAGCTATTTGAAAAATGCTGACAGCTTATTGGACAAGCTATTGATCAAGCTGTATAGCTTTCTGGTTTAATATTATGCAGCGAGTAAAGCAGGGCTGGAATAATCTTTGGTTATTGCAGGGAGTAAAAACATCCCGGTGTTATGAGATTTCAACAAGGAGAGGGTTTGTAACAGCTTCTTACCCTGAGGCTTTACCACATATGTTACAATGTATAAACTTCTCTTTGATATTGCTGATGAAATATGGTACAGTACATGAGAAAGAATTGAACATCATACAGAGATGAAAAGAGTAGCTCTAATCTAGTTGAACTCATATTTATTTGATAGATTCCAGTTTGCTCATGTAAATAATACACTTCTTCAAGTGCCAGAATAAGTCATGGAGTTCCTCTTGGTACGGTGTTGGAATCAATATGCTATACTTTATGAAAGATTTCTAAAAAGCCTAAATCCAACTATATAAGAATACAATCTGTTTTGTTTTAAAGATAAAAATCTCCATAAGTTTTTTTTTTGCTTCTAGATTCAGACAAAGCAAGAGCTTTTGTCTTTGAAACAGATTTTATGTGAATATTTTTAAATCTGTATCTGCACATACGTTCTGAATCTTACACCCAATCCTGGAGTTGTGCAAAGATTAGTACTGGACCACTTGTCTATTTATTATTTAATGAAATAACATTTTTTTAGCCAGCATGGGATGAATTTGTACATATGCTGACGATCTTAAATTGTATTTATCCACAAAGTCTGATGGCTTCAATCGGTTTATTAGACTACGACAATGTCTTTTATCCATAAAAACCAGCAAGACTTTTATAGTTGTTCTGCTAATCCCAGATGACAGAGGTGTGGGTATTGAATTACATGTAAATGTTTTGGAATCTGAGTCACACCGTGAACAAAATTTCATTAAATTTGTTTGCATGTGAATCAGACCAGTCTGAATCTTCTTGCACCTCTTGGGCTCTGCAGGGTGTGTAGCTTGGACAAATAGTCTTTGTTTATCAGTCCATTGGGTAAACATAATCTTAAGACTTTTAAATTGCAATCACAGGACTTCTATTATTATCTTGAAACGTCTTTATTTTTTTCAGATAACAAGAGAGGTCTAGTTGACTTTAATTTAAAACTTTCAAGTTCAGCATGACACAGATGCTTGAGAATCTTCACTAATACATTAGGTAAAGGTTTTGGGAAGCATCAAATAAATGTCACTAAAGTCGTAAACCTGGTAGAATCTCAACTTGTGGCCTTTCAATTCAGACAAAACTTAATTTTTGGGGTTTGAATTGGACTGTGTGTAAATGTATTTGTTTCAGAATGTAACTGTTGTGAACTGATTAGATTTCGAGTGGACTAGAGTACATTTGGTAGAGTCAGTGTTGGTCATGAAGGTCCTGGAGTGCTTAAAGGTGCAATAAGCAAAAATTGTGGTCAAATTTGGTTACTGCAGTTCATTTTTCTAAATAAAAATATTACTCTCTCATTCCCGTTGCGTGAGTTTCATGGCTTTTGCCAGTTACGGATCAGCAAACGAGTCATACACAGTAAGTTTATAAGTAGATAAAAATACATTATTATATCTGGTGTTAGCACTCATGGGAGTTTTACAGTATTGATCACTTACTACACCTATTATGGTAGTTAGTCTCTGGCGTTAAAAGAAGTGAGGTTGTTTGCCGTCTTGCTGTTAGCTTGACGTTATAGTTCTGAAAGATTCGTTAAAAGAAGTAAAACGCCACGATTGACTCATTATTCACTTCATATATACATTTCACTGTAATATCCAGTGTTGGGAGTAACGCCGTTTAAATATAACGGCGTTACTAATGGCGTTATTTTTTAGGTAACGGAATAATCTAATTAATTGCTTTTCCTGCTGTTGCAACGCCGTTACCGTTACTGGGGACGGAAGGTTGTGCGTTACTATGTGCTTGTCGAACGTTGAGCAACAGTTTGAGGCTTTCTGACCGCCACACTTCAGCTGCAGCCAGGGAGAGAGAGGTGTCGGTAACGCACTTACAAATACGATGATGATTGGCCTTGTGGGCGGAGACCCTCAGTCTTCCCACTGTCTCAGTCGCTGCCTGCTGTAGACCCAACAGAGCAGTGATGGGAATAACGCTGTTTAAAATAACCGCGTTAATTTAAAAAAATATTTCTTTCTGTAACGAGCAAACTAATTAATTACCGTCTTCTTTTAACAAAACGATCGTTTCTGTTACTGATAAGGAAATGCGTGCGTTAAGCAGCGCGGTGTGTTGAAGCTGTCATCAGCTGATCAGGAGCTAAAGAGGTAGATGTTTTCATCCAAGCGCATCACGGCCCGTGAAGATCAAGGAAGACATGATGAATATCTACGGCTGCAGGTGTGGATCTGCAGCCGTGCCCTTCTTAGCGTGACAGCGGGACGTCCCGAAGGTCCGCTCACCTGTTCACCGCTCAGACGTCCTGATCTTCTACCTTCCTAGATCATCCAGCTGTAACCTGTTTCTGATCATGTCTTTAGTCCCGCTGTAACACTGATGCATCAGTCTCAAACGACATGGAGCTCAGGTGTTATTAGAACTACCTGTGTGTGTTTACCACCCAGCTTCAGCTCTTCTGTGGTTGGGTCTGACCCACGTTAGTAAATGTAAGTCCTCCATCAGATTTGTGCCTCTTCTAGTGTCATTTTAAACGATTTTAATTATTTATTTAACCGTTACTAGATTAGCAGCAACAGAAATGCTGCTAAAAACACACAATTATATGAAGCTGGAAAAATTAGAATACTGTGCAAAATTACATTTATTTCTGTAATTTAACTAGACTGAGAGACCATTTAAAGGCTCAGGAACCTTTACAGGTGTTTCTATTTGCAATTTTAAATTTTAGCTGATTGGGGTCTTGTTAAATATCACACAGTGACCTTTTAATAGTTTAGATAAGTGTAATGCTCCTGTTAGTAGTTCCTCCTGTTAAGAGCTTATTTATTTAAATTTTTCAGGTTAATAAAAAAAACATTTGGACATACATTGTATTATGTTCCAGTCATTAGTCATTTATATTTCACTATTGTAGTAATTCTTGCATGCTTAAAGGAAAAAAGTAACTAAGTAGTTATTTTTCTTGGTAATTAGTTACTTTTATAATCTTGTAATAGTATCAGTAACTATAATGAATTACGTTCCAAACACTGGTAATATCCCGTTGTTGGTCATTGAAAAGTAGCTTGAAATGATGCTAAAGGCTGACAATTTGCTTCTAATTCACCATTAGCGTTGTTAGCTCAATGTTAGCCTCTAGCCATATTTACCCAATATTAGAGTAAAACAAAAATATTGTGGCTTCTTATGGGTACAGGAAATAACTTTTGGGTCATTCATACTGGCCTCACTTCTTTAAACAACTCTGGAGCTTTTTGCCTGGAGTTGTCAAATTACAAATGCCGATGCTGCAGAGTTAGCTTGCTGCAGAACCAGCAACCTCACAAGCTCACTGATGGTAAACAGTAACTACGTCTCTCCTTCATTTTGTTTGAAAGGAGAAAAACTGACAACCCCCCAGTTGGCTGAGAAATAAATCGGTTTCAGTTTCTTCCTTCCAACATGATTGAGACATTAGACTGTTTTGTGAATAGTTCAAAGTCAAATTCTTACATGTTGCACCTTTAATGCTTTTATTAGATACATTTACAGACAACACTGAAAATGCAGAGATGAAGTAGTGAATGAAAGATATTAGGTAATGATATACTGCAAATTATGTATCAGTTTTTTTAATAAAACGTGATTAATCCAATCAATTATGTATATGGAGTTATATGGATATTATATGGATAGCATAGACTTTGACATGAATTGGATACTTTTCTTTTCGTTTTGTGGACAGAGATGATTTCTGTGCAACCACTCTGAGTTCAGGTTAACTGAAACATTTATTCAATATAATTTTGGAGAATAAATGGTTCAACTTCCTGTGTATTTTTTTTGCTTGAATTATGTAATTTTCCACATGAATTGCATGCCAAAACACACACATATGAGATAAGCCAGAAGCCTGCTGTAGCGAACCTTCACCAGAAAATGCAAGCACAGATGTAAATGGAAAGGCAGATGATAAAAGAAGAGTTGTTGGCATTTAGTTACCTTTTTGTTCCACTTCTATTTTTAGGCATGGAGGAGAGAAAGACAGAAACAAATAAAGAACAGATTAATCACGTGAGAATTTTCTTTATATCACTGTCAAATAAAAGAACAAAAGGATCATGGGGTTAGACGGAAAAAACACATTAAACATTAATTCATTTGCTGTCAGAGAGGATCCTGTTAGGAGAGAGACACATTCATTAAGTCTTAAATTATACTTATTTTACAAACTTAAAAGTAACACAGCAACAAAGTTAAAATACAATATTCATGCATAAGCATTAACGGTTCATCCCTTGAGTTGGGAATAATTTTTAGGGTAATTTGACAAAACTAATTTTAAAGTGTATGTATGTAAAACTATGTATTTTCCCTGGCGGAAAGGGGCAACACAAACCTAAATCATTGCAAGCAAGCTGTATTTTGTGTTTGAGTAAGACCTTTCCAACGGAGGGCCATTAGGGTCAAAAATCCATGGGAGAGCAACATCCAGCAAAATGACAGTCATATCAGACTCCCTTTCATCACTGGCAATGAGTGAAGAGGTACATGTGTAAAACAACAACATTTTTTATTGGTGAAAGTTTTGTAATCGTTTGTTACAAATCAGTAAATGTGTTTAGTCCTCACGGGCTCCTGTAGAAGGAAACATGGTGTCTAATATGGCATCGTCCAGAGACTTAGACCCGCTCCCATGTATTTTAGACCCAATTTGTATGGTAATTTGTTACAAAGCCTCCAATATTTTTCAACAGCTGAGCATCATTTAATTCTTTTTCAAGAACATTTTGATGGACACTTCTTCACCTTAATGGTAAAAACTACAAATTGTGTTTTTAAAATTTATCTAAAAATGCTATGAGAATCATATTTCAAGAGAATCTGAAAAAGTCTAATTAAATTGTGCTTCATTCAAAAAATAATAATAAAGCATACAACTATGGGATTTGCCATATCAAGTTTATTTATAAAGTACATTCAAAAACAGCATGACAGCTGACCAAAGTGCTGTAAAGTAGTAATAAAAGGAAAAAAAGATAAAGATCATAAAAGAGATAAAAGGGATAACCTAAACATTTAAAATAAACATACTAGAGTAAAAACTAAGTCACAATAAAAACATAATGCTAAAAGGTTAGCACATATCAACAGGGAAGATTCTAAAACAATAAAAGCTTGGTCATTGATCAAAAGCTAAATGATAGAAGTAGGCCTTCAGTACAGACTTGAATTGACCCAGTTCTGGGGCCTGTCGAACACCAAGAGGGAGAGCATTCCAAAGTTTAGGAGCAGCGAACGCAAAGGCCCGCTCCTCATGAGATTTGTACTGTATTTTCCGCACCATAAGGCTCACCTGATTATAGGGCGCACAGCCAATCAGCGTCCTAGTTAAAGGTTTGGCCCGCACATAGGCTCAATAGCAGCTATAAAAATTATTCAGCAGCATTACTGAAAAAAGCACTCACATTTTTTTTCATTCCTCGTCCATAAATCCCTCAAAATCCTCGTCCTCCGTGTCTGACATGAAGAACTGACCCAGCACTGAACCCAGCGCGCTCGGCTCCGACGCGCCCGGCTCATCACCGTCAGAGTCAATGCCACTGTTGTTGCTCAGCTCTCCTGTTGTGATCCCGGCCTTGGTGAAAGCTCGAACAACAGTCTGGACGGAAACGTTGGCCCAGGTATCAGCGATCCACTCACAGATGGTGGCATAAGTCGATCGGCGCTGCCTGCCCGTCTTGGTGAACGTGTGTTCGCCATCCAGCGCTCCCACGCTGCTTGGACTTTCGCTTTGAAGGACAGGTTCACCCCGATGTCCAGCGGCTGGAGTTATTTGGTTAATCCACCCGGTATGATGTTGAGCTCCGTGTTCATCCTCTTCATCTGGATTTTAACGGCGTCAGTGAGATGGGCTCGCATGGAGTCGCAGATCAGCATGGTGTGGAAGTGTGGAAGAAGCCGTTGTCTTTTGGTGTACACCTCCTGCAGCCACGCCACCATCATGTCCTCATCCATCCAGCCCTTCGGGTTCGCCTTGATAATCACGCTGGTGCAAAACTTTTCTTTGGGTAAAGTTTTCCGCTTGAAGATGACCATCGGCGGCAGCTTCTGGCCATCAGCCTGGCAAGCGAGCATGACGATGAAGCAGGACTTCTCGTGGCCGGTCATCCACACAGACTCCATTCTGGACCCCATTTTCTGCATGGTCCAGTTCACCAGGATGTCGAATGTAAGCGGGACCTCGTCTATGTTGGTGATGTGCTGGGGCCGTATGCTTTTGTCTGCCATCTTCTTATAGGAAGCGGAACAACTCTAGCTTCTCAGCGTCACCTTTTATTAGGTGAGGGTGGGCGGTGCTACAGGCCAGCTCTTTGTTTCCTGCGGACACAGGTGTGGCTGGCTTCACTTACGTCCTTAATACATGTATAAAAGGCACATCCGTATTAAAAGGCGCACTGCCGGTTCAGGGGAAGATAAAAGGTTTTTAATAGCGCCTCATGGTGCAGAAAAAACGGTATTTCATTTTTGGGATGCACAAAAGCAAGTGATCTCCTGATCTCAGGATTCTGGGTGGAACATAAGACTTGAGCAGTTCTGACAGATAAGCAGGGGCTTGACCATTCAGAATGTTATAAACAAAGGTTAAGACCTTAAACTGGATACGATATTTAACTGGCAGCCAGTGCAAGCGTGCAAGGACAGGTGAAATGTGACAGCGTCTAGAGGTGTTTGTCAGGAATCTAGCTGCTGCATTCTGCACTCTCTGAAGATGCTCAATTGCTGAGACACTGACACCAATATGGACTGAGTTAGCAAAGTCCAAAAGTGAGGTGTGAACGACAGACTCCAGATGTGGTCATTTGACTATTGACTTTAAACGTGAGATGCAACGTAGTTGAAAAAAAACAAGACCTGACTGCAGCGTTAATTTGTAAGCTCATTGACAGATCAGAGTCAAGTTTCACTCCCCGACTGCTTACACACGTTTTCAAATTTAAAAATGGTAGAGGAAAGTCACCAGGTGCATGCTTTGGATTGACTGGATTAAAAAGAATGGTGTCTGTCTTGTTTTCGTTGAGGCAAAGGAAGTTCTCCGACAGCCAGCCTTTAACTGCAGTAATTTATTTTGCATTTACACAGTGTTGTGTCCATGAGGACAGCTGCGAGGAAACAGTGAACACAGTTTTGATTCCACAGCTCAACAAGTGTAGAAAAACCTCCAGAATAAAAAAAACCTACTCAGGCTATTACATCTTAAACCTCTATATCACTTTCTCTTTAGACTTGCCTCTTAGGTCAGTCATGGCTTTCTGTCATTCCCCCCATTTGAGGTTGAGGTTAGCATCCATCCATCCGTCCATCCACACAGCCTGCCTGCTCCTGTCCCCTTCCCTCCAGTAATCCTGCTTCTAATAAGAGAGGATTAACCTCTGTTACCAGAGCTTACAGGACTCCTCTCCACCAAACACAGAGAGCAACAGAGTGAGGTACGGAGGTCGATGGATAGGCGAAAGCTGGGCAAAGTTTGAAAGATGGGAAAGTTATTAGATAAGAACAATATTATAGTGAGAAAAGAAAAAGAACGAGGCAGGGCTGTAGCAGTCAATGGAAAAAGAGGAAGAAATAATGGCGAGAGGCTTTCAACAAGTTGTCTTGGTGTCAGATCATAAACTCGAATGCTGGTACAGCGCGGCACCTCATTAACAGCAAACACCCGGGCTGTCGCTGAAGCACAGTAAGTCCATAGCTAGCATGAGCACAAGTTGCTCTGGGCTACATGTGGACCACCATTACTGGCGACTCAGATTTGCTAATAACACAGAACTGCATGTGAACCTCCATGCATCAAATCAAAGTAAAAAGCCTAACGCGCCTGATCGAAGCCTCCTCACCTCCCATGAGCGAGTGCCACACAACGGGGACCATGGGGAGGCTAGCGTTTCTGATTGAACGATCGCTAACAGTGGCGAGGGGAGACCGAGGTAATGATCTATAAAAAAGGCATTAGTGGCGGAGATGTGAAAAGTGGTACACGATGCAATCACCAGGGGAGATGGTGTGAGAAGGAAGTAAAGGGATGTGGATGAAATCCCCCCCAACAAGGAAACACACCTCTCCCCAAAGCCACGGGCCAGCACACAGCTCTTTCACTTGACCGGAAGACGCTCGGGAGATGCAATAAGGTCACCCGTCAGTACACTCACAGTAATTTGTTAGTGTCATGTCGGCTCATGTGTCACCACAGACTGAGACGCCACTGTGATGTGTGCTTTGGACGTCCACATTTACTCTGCTGCAGATAGAAGAAAAAGACGAGCAGCAGGCAAAAGCTGAGACTAGAGAATTGATTTATTTGAAATCCTTTTTTACTCCGCCCCACCACCTCTATTGTGACCTTAATACGATTTGGGTCACGGCTGTCGCTGAGTCACTAAACAGCACTTAGCTCTCTCTCATCTTTCTTTTGCGTTTCCGTTCTAATCGTCTTTCCATGTTGCTTCCTCTAAAATGGCAGAGAAACTTTCAAAATAAACTTTTTTAAAGAACTCGATCTGAAGTCTTGTTTGCATTTCTTGATTTTTTTAGCACACAAAATAGTCCCTTTGATAATTATTTTTAAAAGAAAAGCTTTATTTATAAAATATATGTGTGTATGTTCTCTGTGATGACATTTCTATTTTATTTAACTTGAAATATTAACATATTATCCTAAAATTTGGTTCAGTCATAAAGATGTTCACTGGTTCATTGATGGAGAGCTGCCTTAATGCCAGAGTTTTAATCTATGATAATCTGTTATTGAGAGAAATGGTTAAAACCCATTTGGTCTCCACATTAAGCACAATGTAACATGATCATTTCCCGTAATCGGAAGGTTGCAGGTTCGAGCCCCGCTCAGTCTGTCGCTGTCGTTGTGTCCTTGGGCAAGACACTTAACCCACGTTGCCTGCTGGTGGTGGTCGGAGGGACCGGTGGCGCCAGTGCTCGGCAGCCTCGCCTCTGTCAGTGCGCCC